CCATTTTGTGCTTCGCACATGGGAGTCAAAAAGGCATACATACAAAGCAGTATGTGATATCTGAAAATATGACGTTGACAGATACGGCGATAATGCTCATTGATATGTATAGTGACGATACCAGTTATATCATTAGATCGCCAAAAGAAGTAATAACTATTATCTTTTTCAGAACATTATATAAATGCCTAACTTATGTATGATCTGTACTTACCTGTTCTAATATTAATATCCTATCTGCCCCACATAGGTACTGAAGTTGGTGGGTCACCAAAATACACAGTTTGGATGATAAATATTCCTTAATGCATCTACAAAGATTACAAACAAAAACATCGATTGCAGTACTAAATACACGTCACCAGGATTAAAACATTCTGATGAAATATTTATGCATTATGAATAAAACCAGCGTTACGTCACGTTCGTTTGGTAACATCATATATTAGATTATATGACATAGTATAACACTCATTTGAAAAGCAGGAATACACTTATCACAACGGCAAATTATTCATTCTCACTTGTTAAATATATGTCTTCCAACAGATGCGTCAACAGCACTAAGTGGATCATCGAGGAGATACACATCCGCATCAGAATAAAGAACCCTGGCTAGACTAACCCTTGACCTTTGTCCTCCACTCAGTGCCACGCCCCTCTCTCCAACCAATGTGCGATCACCATACGAAAGTGTCCTAATATCCTGGAATAAATAAACAAAATGATAGTAAATATAACAATATGTATATAACAATTTGTATATAACGATAATGAAAAGTTCGAACGAAAAAAAGCGTTAGTAATGTTTAATAATATAGTTTTACTACGCCAGTTTCGTTCTCTGTAGTTCGTATCATACTAATATACAAATACACTGAGATTTTAGTACTCATAGAGATTTGATGAATGAGTGTGTTCTTGTCTGTCAATAAGTGTGCGAGTTAGCAGTGATGACTGATTTTTAGTGATAACTCTACGTATGGATCTGAAATGCAAATTAGTAGTGTAGGAGCCACTAAGGTGAACACTACCCTGAAAAAGGGATCATCGATATACTCTACTGTATGTTGAAAACATAAACGTTTTTTGTCTGGCATTCATAAACATATATTGGTATGATTTTCAAATGTGAAGGTGCCACACTTCGGACCTTTGTGTAGATATTACTGGGCATTCATAAAATTGTTCAGGACGAAAAGCGTATTGTATAATAATATCGTAACGTATGCATGAAAACGTAAATTGTTGTGGTTTTTGTATTACTTTATTATACGCCTTTTTGTGACTAGAACGACGATATTGTTACAAATTCATCTTATTTGCATATCGAATGCCGAAGTCAATAGTCTAATGTAGTACAATTACGACAATTATTGTAGTGTTCAATGCAATTTTGAATAAAGAGTCGGGTGTATAATAAGTTGCGAGTGTTGCATCAGTACAGTGATACCTGATACTTCAGATCATGTGCATAATCCATATGTGAGTGTTTAACAGTGTCTCGATTCCGTGTACTACGCAATAGTTAGTGGGGAAACAAACATGCGTGAATAATTGTTGGAAGATAAAGAATGAGACACAATATGGGTATTAACGCTACTTGAAATTAAACAAATAAAGGTTAACCACTTGCTTCATACATTTCATTCTATCTTGATAGGGTTTGCGTATAGGCTGATAGAGTAAGTATGTTCGATGTGTCGCCTCACCCACTAAAAACTTTAGAAGAGTGAGGTGAAACTGACATGATAACCAGATACGAACAATAAAATCGCAATGATTAATCGAGCCACTAACCCTTTCTAAGTCACACAAATCTATTACTTTATCATACTTCTTTTTATCGTAACGTCGTCCAAAAATAATGTTTTGTCTCAGTGAGGCTGAGAAAATCCATGGTTGTTGAGATGCATACGCGACACTGCCCATTACTTCCAAACCACCATTACTTATTTGCAGTTCATTCAATAGGGCCATTAACAAGGACGACTGGTAACATAAGCACAAATTTACAATATAATATAATATAATATAATATAATATAATATAATATAATATAATATAATATAATATAATATAATATAATATAATATAATATAATATAATTATAATATAATATAATATAATATAATATAATATAATATAATATAATATAATATAATATAATATAATATAATATAATATAATATAATATAATGATCACAAATTTGTTATGCATATATAATTATTCCAATAGGCAAATAGAAATATTAATATTTGTTACTGTTGCGTATTTCTAGATTCGAGTATTTCATTTCGTTCTTTAAAATGTTCAGTATATATCATACCTTTCCTGATCCAACTGGTCCAACCACAGCCAGTAGTTCCCCAGGTCGCACATTAAAGCTGATGTCTTTCAGGGTTGGAATATCGACACTCTAATAAATACCGGGTCGTCAAAAATAGGTTATTAACACTTGAAACATTTAATTTGAATTTAAAATAAGACAATTATGGGAATGTGGCAATTATGACACGTGATTTTTGTTGATCCAAATTATCAAGCAATTTGGGAATGGATCATTTATAACTGCTGACCATGACATAACTATAAATCGTGTAGTTTGATATAATGTGCATATTACATTCCAAATCATGATAACAGGGATATAAATGTAAACCTATTATACATAGTCAAATGTGTGAGTACACTAGTGTCTTGTAGTTTGAGTGAGTGTAGCTGTATCTGCCAATATACAACATGTAATGGTTAAGAAGTATACCCGCGGCTTGTAAGTATAGTATACCAGGTAAATCTCTCTGTCGTTCACACAGTATTGAATTAATCTCTCCATATATCATGAATTAATGTCGTTCAGTAAATCCACAAATGCCAAAAAAAGTTTGATAAGAAACAAATAAGCGAAAAATACTTGCTACATGTCTTACTTTATCCCAAGTGCAAGTGATAGACTTCACCGTCATTCCGCGTTTACATCTATGTGAATGATTCCAATAACATAATGATGCTGTTTCATCCATAAGCAACAAGTTCTAAGAAATATTTTGAAAATTATACAGTCAGTGACTGAAAAAATGGCATTAAAAGTAATTAAATGTGTAATGTTAAAAAATACTCTTGTATAAATAAGTCAGTATAACGAGTACATTTAATACACAGTACAATGATAACAATTATAGTACATTATGTAAATCACTTTAAAAATACATAGAACATACCTGAATTCTTTGAACTGTAATATAGGACTGTGATAACCTTGTGATAGCTTGAGGATAATAGTATGTCATCGGCAAACGAATGGACAATACCAGCGGCATAACAAGGAACACAGTTTTTATGTCAACACTGTTCTCACCAACCAGAGAAGAAATGACGAATAATAGAAACATGAACACTGGGATGAAGCATTGTGGGTTACCATGCATTAGTGCCAATAGTTTGCTTGTTTCTTGGATTACTTGTATTTCTTTCCTATGAAAATACCCCATAGAGATTTAGCATTATACTGTTATCATGAATTCAGTCACATGATATTACATTATTATATGCTAGATGTCCCATTAAGTGGATGTTACATAGTGTACAAAATAAATGACGACTCTGAAAGTACTATGGAACAATCCGTATGCCTATCGAAAGTATGGTTTACATATATAAAACCTACAGTTGTAGTCAAGACGCTAGCCCGAGTGCAATGTACAAGACTCTGACCAAAACCATGAGTTTTATATCAGTAAACCCTGACATTCAAGTGAGTGGTTCGTACTTATTATCAAATAGAAAGACTCAGCAATCAGTTGCATTGTCAGTGCATAGTGTCGCATGTATGTTAATTTACATAAATAAAAAAGATATATTGTACGCTTTGTCATTTTCTCCCGAATAATTCAATATTTATCACTTGACATTGAAATAATTCTTGTAGTAGAAATCACATTCACAGTTATCCGTAGCAATACACTTATCATATGAATTCAACTGAAGACATCACACAGTTATCCGTAGCAATACACTTATCATATGAATTCAACTGAAGACATCACACAGTTATCTGTAGCAATACACTTATCATATGAATTCAACTGAAGACATCACACAGTTATCTGTAGCAATACACTTATCATATGAATTCAACTGAAGACATCACACAGTTATCTGTAGCAATACACTTATCATATGAATTCAACTGAAGACATCACACAGTTATCT